GGTGACAGATACCTTTAATCCCAGCAGCCAGAAGCTAGGAGGTGATGATACACACCTTTAATCCTAGGACTCAGGATTAAGAGGTAGATGCAGCCGGGCGTTGGTGGCGCACACCTTTAATCCCAGCACTCAGGAGGCAGAGGCAGGCGGATCTCTGTGAGTTCGAGGCCAGCCTGGTCTACAGAGTGAGTTCCAGGACAGCCTCCAAAACAATACAGAGAAACCCTGTCTCGAAAAACAAAACAAAACAAAACAAAAAACAAAGAACAACAACAACAAAGAGAAGTCTTCTTTCTTGAAAAACTACATGTATTTTACAAGCTATTATTTAATTTCATGAAGTGAAACATAACTTTACTTTGACACCATGATTTTCAGAAAATTTAATGTTAATAACTATTAAAAACATATTTTAAATTCAGACACAGTTGCTGGAGAGATGATAGGTCAGCAGTTAAGTGCGCTGATTGAGCCAGGCAGTAGTGACGCACATCTTTAATCCCAGCACTCTGGAGGCAGAGGTGGGCAGATCTCTGTGAGCTTAAGGCCAGACTAGTCTACAGAGTGAATTCCAGGATAGCCAAGGGTACACAGAGAAACCCTGTTTTGAACTCTCCTCCCCCAAAAAGGAGTATTGGATGCCCTTCCAGAGGGCCTGAGTTCTAGTTCCAGCATCCACAGGGAGGTTCATAATTGTCTGTAACCCCAGTTACATACCATCAGCCATCCTCTTCTGACCTCGAAGATGAGACACACATGTGGTGCACAGACATACATGCAAGCAAAACACCCATAAACTTAAAATACATTCAGACAATATAGGAATTGGGCAATTCTTACTCCAAAAAGAACATATTTTTATCTCTTTCACGCCAACCTCAAATGTCTGCCTCTGAAACTCAGTCTCCTTCAAAGACAGAAATCTGGGAACGCATCCTGGCCTGACACCTTCTCTAAGAGTACTATCTTGAATGCTGCTGCTTTAACACCTGTCACACTGGACCAGAGATTGCTGTTAGTCATTCTTACCTATAACGAGAAAACACTATTTCTAAACTTCACGACTGGACAGTCAAGACAAAACTTTTTTCAGGACATTAAACAACACTTACTCTTAACTAAAAGCAACTAAAAAACTTAGTAAAGAAAGAGCATGAAGCTCAAGACTGATAGCAATGCTTGCATGTTTTTTCTATAACCACAGCAGAATTGTTAAATTTTAGAACAAACCTCATCTTATTTTCATCTTGCCAAACATTGAGACATTTCCTTAGACAGAGAGAAGCATGGAGAAAGGAGCTATAATAAAATGGTGGCTTTGCTGCAGTATCTTTGGTTTTTGAGACAGGATCTCTCAGTATAGTCCATCAGGCTGGTGAACCTCCTACCTCAGTATCAAAAATGTAGATGACATGTACCATGTTCAGCTTCACTGAGGTACGTCAAAAAGACTTTTTGTTTTCTGTTGTTTTTTGAGAGTGTCTCATTAAGAAGTCTTGATTGGCTTGCAATTCTTTCCCTATAGACCAGGATGCCTTCTAATGTACAGAAATCCGTCTGCCTCTGCATCCTGAGTGTTGGGATTGAGCATGTATGTCACCACATCCAGCTATTTCTAAAATGATTCTTTAGGTAAGAATACAAATGTATTTCACCATGGCATAGTCATATGATTTTTTTTAAACATAAGAAAAATTATGTGAGGGGGCTGGAGAGATGACTCAATGCTTAAGAGTGGTTAAGGACTGTTCTTCCAGGGAACCAGGGGTTCAATGCTAACACCCACAAGATGGCTCACAACCATCTGTGAACCCTAGTCCTAGGAATCCATACGTCTTCTTCTGGCCTCTTCTAGACACTGCATGCAGTGGTACAGACACATGCAGGCAAAAATCATTCACACATAAAATACAAAAATAAAAATTGGGCCGGGAGTTGGTGGCACACGCCTTTAATCCCAGCACTCGTGAGGCAGAGGCAGGCAGATCTCTGTGAGTTCGGGACCAGCCTGGTCTATAAGAACTAGTTCCAGGACAGCCTCCAAAGTCACAGAGAAACCCTGTCTTGGGGGGAAAAAATTGTGTGAGGAAGGCAGAGAGTGGTGCTTATGGAGGTCAGAACAACTGTGAGAATCACTTTTCTCCTTCTACCATGTGAGTCCAAGGGCTCTATTTTAGGGAGTTAGGCTTAACAGCAAGTGTCCTATCCGCTGGGCCATCTTGCTAGCCTCGTAAGATAGACTTTTATATTCAAGAAGTCACTTGACCAACAAGAATCTTGCACTGCGGCCACTGAAACTATTACTGCTTTCTGGATATCAGTAAACTGGCAATGGGCAGGAGTTTATGATAGGACATTCATTTAGTATGTATTTCAGGTGTTCCTTTCCAGCCTGTAAACCTGATGATTCATTCAACAGAAACCTATTGAGTACTTTTGTATTTACAACAGACAGACGCTGTTTTAAGTGCCAATTGTGGGCTAGGGGTGTGTCTCAGTGGTAAAGTGTGTGCTAGCAGCAGCAAGGCCCTGGTTCCATCTACAGCACCACAAAACAGACAAGAGGGAAAAAAAACCTCACTGGTGACAAATGTCTACAGCCGATGTTGCCAACAGCAATTCTATACTAAAATTTAGAAAAACGGGTAATATTGGGGGATGTATACTAATTGGAAAGTGCAATGCAAACCCATCTACTAGAAATACCATTTTAATATATAAATTTCACTGTTCACAAAAATACCTCATTTTAGCATCTTTCCCACCACCATAAAAAGATGTTAAAAGCTGGATGATGGTGGCACAGGCCTTTAATCCCAGCACTTTGGAGGCAGAGGCAGGAGGACCTAAAGTTTTGGGACAGCCAAGGCTACACAGAGAAATCCTGTCTTGAAAAACCAAAAAGAGGTATGGTAAAACATAACAAAAACAAAAAGGCAAGATAGCTTGGTATAGTGGCTCATGCCTATTATCCCAGGATTTGAAACGCTCAGATAGAAAAATGGCCACAAATGCAAGGCCTGCTGGGATATGTAATGAGCTCCAGAAGGACACTGTATTTAAAAATGGCAATAATAAAATTGTGACAATATGACATGTGACATGTGCAAATGGTATCAGAAACATAAGCTAAACAGAAACTTTGCATGTTAGTATATTTGTATTGCCAATATAAAATTTACCTAGTGGCAGTAATGCTTGCATTCTTCTAATGCACCAAGGGAGCCAATCCATGACAACACGTTAAAAGAATAAAAATGTTGATTCTTGCTAGGTGTGGTGGCATGCACCTATAGTCCCAGAGGAGGCTGAGGCAGAATCATCTTTTGTTCAAGGCTAGGCTGAGCTACTTTGTCTTAAAATTTCTTTTTTACCATTTGATCATAGGACTAGAATTTTAATTCCCTGGCTGCTAGCTAGAATGATTCCTCAATACTTAACATCTGATCTTGTGCACAAATGTCCAACTTCTAAAACCTAGATTTTTATCCGAAATTAGGAATAGGAAGAGGCCAACCAAACAGTAAGTAGTGAGGTAATTAAAGCCAAGGGACCAAGCTGCTAAGTTATAGAAAGCCACTGTTCATTTGGAAGTTAGCCCAGAACACAAAAATTTGGAGGAGAAATGCTGGTGATTGAAACAGAACCAGGGTTCCAAATATGCTGCCTCATTCCTTTATCTGCAGAAGCTTCCTCCCATACCATTTACCCAAATGACTATAACCACCCTGCAGAATCCGGCAGGACAACAGACTCTCAGACAGGTGGAAAGCCAGTATTAGGAAACACAAGGGAATACATTTGATGCTAAGATCAGGAATATTGTGTTCATTAGAATGACCAGCCCAAGATTGTGTGTTGGAGATAACAAAGCATTTTTTAAACCTTTCAAAATTCTTCCTTTGACAAATCGTATGTTTTCGCCAAAGACTCAGTTCCTTTAAGAACCACCACCTGCCAGCGAGCAGATTCTTCCTCATGAAGACATCTGCACTGCAGATCTCTGCACGAGGAGAGCTTGCTTGTCAGCTCCCTCCAGCAGGCAGACAAGTATACAATAGAAACTAAAGGAGGCCAGCAGCTCCCCTCCTCGTCTTTTCACAGACAAGGGAGAAGGGGGTCCAACCAGCCTAGGCTTTGTCTGAATTTTCTCCTCTTTTCCCTGCAGCAAACGTTCCCTTTTATTATACTGCTATCGAGAATAAGCCATCGAAAACATGAAATCAAAACATGGTGATGACTTGACATGACTGTATTTATTATCTTCTAGAATATAGCAACTGATTGCGCGTCCCCACCCCCACAATGCGCCCGTGAAGAGCTGGCTGTGCTGCAGATGCAGCCAAGGATCCATCTTGGACTATCGGCAGCTCCCTCCCAAATATTCCTGTGCTATTCTCATCACGCCTCCTCTACCTCAGAGCCTCAGAAAAATCTGGCATTCAGTTTAGCCCAAAACAGTAATAGAACTTCCTGATTCTCCTGGAAAACAAACAAAAAATTGGGGGAGAGGACTATCACCCACGTAAGATTGTGTCAACACCTGTCTGCAAACCTGCAACGCCACCCCTTCCACCACCACCCCTCTCAAAATCCTAATATCGTTTCTCCTCCGGCCCACCTGTCACAATCCTCTCAAGCTCGCTAATCCTCCACTAAATCAGCCGCCCCCCTTCCACCCTAGGGCTCTCCCGCCTCCTGAACACAATCCATTCAGTTCACCTAGCCTTTCTCGGTTTTCACCCCACGACTGTGTCCTCACCTGCGGGGAGTCAGCATCAGCGCCCACTCTCTAGACTACCTCCCCGCCCCCAACCTGTTTTCTTCACACCCCGTTATTTCCTCACCGCGGCTCGGCCCTTCGCTCCCCTCCCCCTTTGCCTGTTCCTCAAATGCCCGCCTAGGGACTGAAGCCGCCCGCGGACGGGGTAGGTCGCCCGCCCCCGCCCGGAGACCCAGTCGCTCGCGCTCCCAGGGACCCAGCTCCCCGCGCGCCTCACCCGCACATGAGGAGCCGCAGCTCTTCGCCCCCAGGGCGGGGCAGGCTCCCGGGCTCCCGCCGCTGCCGAGAGCGGACGGCTCGGCCCCGGAGGACGACGAGGAGATTGACGGGGACTGAGTGGCCGCCGACGACTCCGCCATGGCTGTACGAGCAAGGGCGGGAGAGAGGTGAAGAGAGACGCGGGACCGGAGAGTGGGAGGGGACACTGAATAATCCAGCAGCTGGCTCTCCAAAGTACAGGGCGAAGGCTGTTCCGAAGACTGACTCCGACAGACTGACTGACTCAACCGTGCTCCGCGGGGAGAGGAGTACGAGCGCGCATGCGCATGGAGAGCCCGAGGACGCGCGGGCGGTGGCCGCGGAGGCGCGCAGCGACGCAATGCGCAGGCGCAAGAACTGTCCCTCGGCGCTACCGCAGGAAAGGACTCAGCGTGACTGGCCCCGCGGGTGGGGCGAGCCTCTGGAGGGCGTCTGTGTGTGCGAAGCGGGGGGAGGGGGTGGAGGGTAGAAACCTGACGTAAGGGGCGTGGCTAAGCACCAGAACCCGCACGCCTCTGCAGCACCAACTGCGGATTAATAAGTCCCCGTCTCCCCCCAACCCCTGGTTCTTTATGTCAGTGTTTTCTAGTTGGCAAATTATGTTTTAACCACCGAGGTTTCTTTGTACTTCCGTAAGCTGCAAATGGTTTTTTAATCATAAATTCTAGTTGATGTCTTGTCTGACGCGTACCTGCCTGTGACTCCAAAAAAAGTGAAAGCCACAATATATAGAGACATCCCCCACCCATGTGCTTTTTGAGTTAGCTGGTCGTGTCGTAATATCGCCTCACCAAGGCAGACATGGCACAGCCCCACGTTTGATAGGTGAAAAGAAATGTTAAACAGAATGAGAAACTATTACTCATTCCAATCACATTGCAGTGCAGTCTCAGAATTAGATTCATATTTTTATCTTGTTTTTCTTCCCCAAGAGGGCTTCAGGTTGCCGTTTCTCTGAATAGGTTCTGAGTTAGAGAAGACATACTTTGGAAGGGAAAAAAAAGCTGCTGAGGAAAGGAAACCAGGAGATAACATCTTGGTTGTGACTGGGAGGGCATAAAATGAGGTATTAAAAATGAGACACAGATACACATTACTGAATCTTATTCATGTCCTAAGATGAGTCCTTAAAAGAAAACATATTTGAAACTGGACCTCAGTTTATATTGGATTTTGTTCATCGATCTTCTGGGTTGACTCCCTGTATCTGGTCAAAAATTAGTGAAAGTACATAATCAAAGCTGTGGGATTTGATGTTGTCAATCAGCAATCGATGACCCAGAGTGCAATTGCAGGTTCAGCAAATCCTGTAAAAATGCAAACTCATGGAGGGGGTGCCAGACAAGCAGGCTGCAGCAGACAGGGAACGCCATCCAACCAGTGGAAATCTAGAACAAGCTGTGGGCCTCGTCTGTCCTAGACACTTTTTTAAGGTCAGATAAAGGCCAGACAGCATCCTGGCTGTTGCAATGCTCTAAAAAATGCCCAAGACACTTCCCGAAATAACTGTGGAAAATACCTTACTCTGGCACTCAACATCATCAGTTAATAATGCAGCAAACTGCCTGTCGGTGGTGGCGCTCACCTTTAATACCAGCACTCTGGAGGCAGAAGAGTGTTGCAGGGCAGACAGGTATACACAGAGAAACCCTAACTCAAAAGACCAAAAAGAAAAAGAAAAGAACCCGCTTTTTAAGATCCTGCTGTAGAGCCGGGCATCGGTGGCGCACACCTTTACTTCCAGCACTCCGGAGGCAGAGGCAGTCGGATCTCTGTGAGTTCGAGGCCAGCCTGGTCTACAGAGCCAATTCCAGGACAGCCTCCAAAACAATACAGAGAAACCCTGTCTCGAAACCCCTCCCCCCCCCAAAAAAAGATGGATACCTCTCCATCAGATGTATTGGGGGTTTCAGGGTCATACTGTAGTTCTGCTTGGAGTATTTTAAAGTACTTCATATTGTTTTCCATATGGCTGTACAAAGTTGTACCTCTACCAAGAGTATACAAGTTCCCCTTTCTCCACATCTTCACATTTTTTTCTTTCTGCTACTAGGGATTGATACCAGGGCCCCTTACATGCTAGACTTGTCCTCTGTTGCTACACTATTTCCACACACCCCCCCTCTTTTTTTTCTGGAGACAAGATTTCTCTGTATAGTCTTGGCTGTCCTGGAACTCATTCTGTAGATCCCATTGGCCTCGAACTCAGAGATCTGCCTGCCTCTGCCTCTCAAGTGACTGTCACCATTGCTCAAATCCACAACCCTTTTTTTTAATTTCTTTGTGTGTGTGTGTGTGTGTGTGTGTGTTGAAACAAAGTCTTATTATGTTGCTTAAGCTAGCCTCAAATTCTCTGTTTTCCTGCCTTAGCCTCTTGAATAACAGGGTTACAGGTCTGTACCACAAGGTGTGTTATAAATATCCACCTGAGAGATAGAGATAGAAATAGAGATAGAGATAGAGATAGATAGGGATATTTATGAGCTAGGCAGTAGTGGCACACACCTTTAATCCCAGCATTCAGAGGCAGAGGCAGATGGATCTCTAGGAATTCAAAACCAGCTTTGTCTACATAGAGAGTTCCAGGACAGCCAAGGCTTCACAGCTAAGGCTTCACAGTCAAGGCTACAATCCTGTCTCCAACATCCCCTCCCAAAACAAAACACAGAACTATTAACAGAGCTGAGTCCTGGAACTGGTTCCCAGAACTGAAAAAAAAAAGTACATATACTTATGAGTTGTTTAGTGGTAGGGATGGGTTGACAGAATGGCATCATTGGGAAATTTTAGTCTCGTGGGAACACTGGAGAGTATATTTTCAGAAACCTCCATGGGATGCAATCAAATTATTTCAATGAACACAAGACATGCAAAGCTGCTGCCGGTGTCACATGTACACTACTTTCTGTTGGAGAAAATTATTTTAAGGTATGTTACTTTTGTTTACGCTGTGGAGCATTTGTTTAATGACGTAACGATGTATGCCTTTTGTTTATGCTGCATTTGTTTACCTCTGTGAACCTGTGATTCTTTTTGTTTGTTTGTTTTTTTTGTTTGTTTTTTTTTAAAGATTTATTTATTTATTACAAATACAACACCTTGCCTCCATGTACACATCAGAAGAGGGCACCATATCTCGTTACAGGTGGTTGTGAGCCACCATGTGGTTGCTGGGAATCGAACTCATGACCTCTGGAAGAGTAGTCAGTGCTCTTAACCTCTGAGCCATTTCTCCAGCCCCGAACCTGTGATTCTTTACCTGTCTAAAACACCTGATGGTCTAATAAAGAGCTGAACGGCCAATAGCAAGGCGGGAGAATGGATAAGTGGGGCTGGCAGGCAGAGAGTAGAGGTAGAAGGAGAAATTTGGAAGAAGAAGGGAGCAAGAGAACAAGGAGGGGAGGATGTCAGGGACCAGCCACCCAGCCAGTCATCCATGGAGTAAGAGGGAAGTAAAGTATACAGAAAGAAGAAAAGGAAAAAGCCCAGAGGCAAAAGATAGTCTGGATAATTTGTTTGTTTGTTTTTTTGGTTTTTAATACAGGGCTTCTCTGCATTGTTTTGGAGACTGTCCTGGACTCACTCTGTAAACCAGGCTGGCCTCGAACTCACAGAGATCTGCCTGCCTATGCCTCCCAAGTCTGGATAATTTAAATTAAGAAAAGTTGGCTGGAAACAAACCAAGCTAAGGCTGGGTGTTCATAATTAATAACAAGCCTCCCTATGAGTGATTTATTTGGGAGCTGGGTAGTGGGCCCCCAAAAGAGCCAAGCATAAAACCCCCAACAACAACATTTTGGCATTCCATCGTGAGGCCAGAGTAAAAGAAAATCCGATAATAGCTTTCATTTTATAAGTTGAAGTAGGAAACTCCGAAATGTTAAAATATAGTAAGTAGATGGGCCAGCAGCATGATGCTTGCCATGACCGGGCATTATTAGATATGTACAATTGGATGTACTGACTGACAGTTGGGTAGGTTTGCCTCAGCATTAGAATAATCACATGAATGAGAGGATATACACCACAATGCCCACATCACTAAATGATAGTTTTTCTGCTGTTATTGACCAAAATGTCATTATGTGGTACATGACTATATTGTAAAGTTTCTTTTATTACTAACCTCTTCCACATTGCTACACACAGATTGGTAACCTTGGTTAAAATCTATAAGCAACAATATGTCAAATCTACCTCCTCTTTCTTTTTTTTTTTTTTTTTTTTTTTTTTTTTGGTTTCCTCAAGACAGGGTCTCACTATACAGCTCTGGCTGTTCTGGAATTCACTATGTGGAGAACAAGAGAGCCTCAAACTCAGAGATCCAACTGCCTCTGCCTCCCAAGTGCTAGGATTAAAGAGATATGGACCACCACACCCAGCTTAAAAAGTATCTTTGATTATATGTGTGCACATGGGAGAGGTATGTGCATGTGTGTGCAGGTGGTCTCAGAGGCCAGGGGCATTGTATCCTATGGAGCTGGAAACTTAACTTGGGGCCTTTAGAAGACCTGTAAGTGCTCTTAACCATTGAGCCTTCTCTTATGCCTCCTACACCCATTTTTTGTTGTTTGAGATAGGGTCTCTATACATATCCCTGACTGTTCTGGTTCTCACTTTGTAGACAAGGCTGGCCTCCAACTCAGAGATTCTCCTTTCTCTTCCTCCTTTTTGTTTTATTTGAAACAGGGCTTCTCTGTGTAGCCTTGGCTGTCTTGGAACTATCTCTGTAGACCAGACTGACTTCAAACTCAGAGATCCACCTGCCTCTGCCTCTCTAGTGCTAGGATTAGGGGCGTGCCTGGTTGAGGCAGGATTACTCTTAATGTTCCTGACATTTTGCCAGCTACCAGCTACTCCTGGTCAACTGTTCTGTGAGCTTCTCCTATTGCTATCTCCCATCAACTCATAGGAATGCTGGGATTACAGACATGAGGTACTACTGAATGCAACTTTTTTATGTGGTTCCCTGAGTTTCATTTGAACTCAGGTCATCAGACTTTCAAAGCAAGTGCTTTTTCCAGCTGAGTTCTACATGCCCCCACCCCCTTTTAAAAGATGAAGTCTCTGTTGACTAGCTTCAAATCACCTTCCTGCTTCAGCTTCCTCAGTATTTGGGACTACAGTTTTTTTTTTTCTTTTTGTTGCTGGGACTAGTTCAGCTTTATAACACAGCATGCAGTGGAGTTTACTATTTTAACTAAATCATCACCCTATTTTATTTATTTAGTTTTTGAGTCAGGGTCTCATTCTGAAGCCCTCACTGTCTCCTGGAACTCAGATCCACTTACCTTTGCCTCCTGAGTTATG